GGCTCGCGGGGCTCAAGTGCGGGCGGGAGGCAAACCTCGCCCACGTTTCGCCTGACGTTGCAGGAGCCGCAGCGGATCCTCAGCTCCTCCTGCCAGAGGCTTGTCTGTCTGTCTGGCACCCGTGATGTCTCTGGCTGGTGGGACCCAATTCACGGGGACACACCGATATCCCTTGGACTGGAACGGAACCCGACATCAGGCCCCGACCATCTAGCTCCAGCGCCACACCGACCCCGGGGGGCCTTTCCCTGACCTTAAACAGCTACAAATGGGAGCCCTCCGCACGCCAAGCCCAGCACGCCCTGGCGCCTCTCCCTGGTGGACGTGCTAGGTTCCCAGGGCCGGCTCACTCACTAGGCGAACTAGGAGATCGCCTAGAGAGGGCTGACCCTTAGGGGCGCCAAACTGCACCCGGCCATACTCTGGGAGTTTCTTATTTGTGTTTTTTATTCTTCCTAAAATGCATTTCTTTTTGAAAATTGGTGGGCGCATGGGGGGGCGGCGCCAGAAGGGATCCTCGCCTAGAGTGCAAAATAAGCTGGGGCCGGCCCTGTAGGTTCCCAGTGTAAAGTGGGGGAACGCCATGCCTGGCAAGTGCGGACCTGAAGTTCGAGACCCGGGTGTGCCGCATGACGGAGCGAACTCCCCTCCGTGGCCCCAGCTCCTGCCAACAGAGCCGTTCGAAAGCAAGGTGTCGCCAGTGGAGAAATAGGTCCCGCTGCGGTGGGAAGGGGACAGCCGCCTAGTCATGCCGGCCACCTGGCCACGGAAACGTCTTCGGACAGCGCTGGCTCTTCGGCTTGGAAACGGCGATGAGCGCCGCGTCCCTAGAACCGGACTCCACTGGCTCTCGAGCCAGGGAAACCTCAACCTTGACCTAGCCGAGACACCAACACCGCCAGGCCCCACAGGGCCGGCTCCAGCTTATTTTGCACCCTAGGCAAGGATCCCTTCTGCCCCCCCTCTTGCCCCCACCAATTTTCAAAAATAAATGCATTTTAGGAAGAATGAAAAAACACAAATAATCAAGAAACTCCCAGAGTACCGTGGGGGTGCAGTTTGGTTGGTGCCCCCTAAGGGCCGTCCCGCTCTAGGCGATAGCCTAGTTCGCCTAGTGAGTGAGCCGGCCCTGCCTTGACCTAGCCAAGGCACCAAAGCCGCCAGGCCCCACTACAATGCAGGAAACGGGGAAGGCGAATCCTCGCGCCGAGGGGGGGG